GTGTGTATGGATTGGGATAACAGTTGTATGAGCCCCTAATAAAATGTTAAAAAAGAAAAAAAAAAAGAGAAAAACAAAACAAAAACAAAAAACAAACAAACAAACAAAAAACCCCAACTGTATAGAAAGAAAATTTCAAATAATGACTAATTGGCATGTTCCTTAATCACCTTCTGAAATTATTATTTAAAAATTTTGTTTGTGTTTATGTATTTTACCTCGTGTGTGATTAATTTAGAAGTTAAAATTTTCCTTCAAATTTATTCACTTTATCCATGATAATATATGAAGTATATTTTACTGACTCACTTGTAGTATTCCTGGTTGCTAACACTACTTTTACAAGATTATTGACTTGTTTTCTTTATTATATTTTTAATTATCTAAATTTATTTTTTCTGCATCTGATTTTTCTTGGTGGTTGTGGCTTTTTCCTTCCAGAGAAATTTGGAATTGTCCCTCTAGGTGCCACAATAACAAGGGTTTTATTTTGTGTTTAAGATTTCAGCCTGAGGGCTTTAGGTTGTAGGGATCGCCCAGATTCTGAAACCTCTACATGACTTCAAAAATAATTTACATGAGAAGGGTTCTTACAAGGCTAGTCTCAAGGAGGTAGAAGTTAAAGACCATCTGACTGTTTGGCTTTTCCAAAGTGTTCTACCACGCCACCGCTCCTGGTAGCAGCCACCAAACCTTTTCTCACCTGTCACCGCTCACATCCCAGGGATCTGCAATTTGCTGCAATGTCTCACAGAACTCACAGTTGTTAAGGAAATGTATCTGTAGTTGTGGAGGCTAGCAAATCCCAAATCTGACATCCAGATGGCCTTCTGGAGGATTCTCCTCTTTTACACAAATTTGCACCATTGATGCACAAGGCTGTGGACACTGTTGAATCAGGTGACAGGCTGCCAGCTCAAGTCCCCCAAATTGGAGGTCAGGTGGAAGCAAACCAGATGCAGAATCCAGAGCGAGAGAGTTAACTTTTTAAAAGTTGACTTTCTTAGGTCAAAATGACTACATGAATCCTGGGTACAGTGATTGTTGTCTGGGTGTTCATCATCTGGTGACTCATCTCCTGCCTTTCGTGCATACTCAATTAGGAAGCAATGTGGGGAGGTCACAAAGATGTTGTCTTGCCCATTCTTCAGGGCTTTGTTAGAAGTGAAGTGTTTGCCTTCTGATGTCAAAGGTTAGGTAGAGGACCACTTCTCCTTTTCCTAGACACGTTAGGTCTAGTTTCAGTCAGTTACTTAACCCCAGCTTCCTGCTTTTCTCAATTAGGAATAACTTCAAGCCGAAAATTCTCATTTTAACACAGATATCAGAAATGACACCTAATCTGTAGACTGTACTCTTAAGGAAACCAAGGGGAGTGATAAAATGGAAACTCAACATACATCTCACTTTAATCTTGCTTCACAGCATAACAGATGTAGAGATTAGAATTTACAGTACACCACAAAATTAAGGACTATGGCTAGAAGGACCATATTAAGTAAGTAATCGACTACACTGGAATCACTAATACCAAAATTATGGGGGTGGGGCATGGCATTTTTGTCCATTGACCTGGTCTGCCTACTCCTCCTCTCCTTAGCTTACTGCTCTTCAACTTGGTGGATAGTAAGTGATCGTTTCAAGGTCCTTGGGAGGTCTTTACACTCACTACTACCAACCTACTAACCAAAGGTTGGCAGTTGAAGCCCATCCTGTTGTGTTGTGTCAGAAAGGCCTGGTGAACCCTTTCTATAAATATTCTAGCCAAGAAAACCCTGTGGAGTTGTTCTACACTGTAGCACAGGGGGGTCACCATGAGTTGGAATCAATTTGATGACAATGGGCTAATGATAGTTTCAGAGTTTTGCTTCTATAACTTCTTTCTCTTATGTAACATGAGTTGATATAAAAAAAACAATATTTTTCTCTCCAGGAAAAATACCCAAGTATTCAGACTGGGAGTGTATCCCTTCTAAAAGTGTTGTGTATTTGTATCTTAAACTTAAATTTAAATTTCTCTCTCTAGGGTTTATGGGAGGGAGGTACTGTGGTTTGTTTTCTTGTCAATAGTATTCTCCCTGGATATATCTCTTGGGTTTGATATGAAGTATCATCTCCTCTAGGGCCTGGTGTCTCTAATGCTGATCTTTACCTTGCTGGAATTGTGCATAAGCATCTTTGTCTCATCCATGTGGTTGAAAGCAAACTGTTGTAAATCAAAAGCGGTGAGTATTTTTAAATCACTAATAATTCATATGGTCTGCAAGTCCCTCTCTAAGGTTTAAGGTTTTTTGCTTGATTCAGGAACTAGAAGAAACCTTTTTTTGTGATAATTATTTGTGGAATTCCTGAAGTCTCAGATTAAATGAATGAAAATGTTGGATTAAAGGCAAGACAAGGATCCCAATATGAAATTCTAAGAGGAAACTCTGTATTTACTATTTAAGAGCATACAGTTTAAAAACTGTTTAATTGAGCTATAATTAACATATCCCACAATTCCATAGTTCAGTTATATTAAGGAGGATTGTGCAATCATCACCTTCATCAACTTTGGAACACTTCCTGGCTTCTTTTACCCATTACTATTAATTATCCCCCAACCTCAACTTCCTTATCCTCAAATAATTATGCATCCAGTTGCTCTCTTCATAAATTCACCATACAAAACAAACACCCCAAACAAAAAGAGACCCAGCAATAATGACCCAATAAAAGAGAAAAACATCCATCAAAAAGAAAGCCAGGAGTACGTAAAAACTAGAATCAATTATAAAATGGGTCAAAAAAACAAAAACAATGCACTGTCGATGCTGATTCACAGTAGAAAGAAAATGTTTTGAGAATGATGATGGCAACAAATGTACAAATGTGCTTGACCCAATGGATGAATGTATGGATTGTGAGCCCCAATAAAATGATTCTTAAAAAAAAAAAAGACAAAAAACAAAACGCCAATTGCTATCAAGTCCAGTCTAACTAATGGCAATTGCATTTGTGTCAGTGGCTGATTTTTCTGAACTAGCACACCAGACCATTCTTCCAAAGCACCTCTGGGTGACCTTGAACTTCCTAATAATCAGCTATTAGTCAAGTTCATTAACTAGTTTCACTTCCTGGGGCTTCCCTTAGCAAAGCAAAATGACAAGATTCCCCTCTAGTTGAACTTTCTTCCACTAGCTGGCATGAGATGCAGCCATGTGTGTTTGTGTGTATAAAATATATATGCTCATATTTCATTTCAATCAATCCATATTATTGGTGGTGGTGATACTGATAATTACAGTGAGTGGGGGAAGGGAGAATTGTGTCAATGCTTGGAGTCTGATGTTGCTTTATTTTTCAGGCAGTTTCTTCACATCTCAGTGCTATGGAATGAGGCATGTCTCAGAAAAAAATAATTTTGAGAGCAAGGAAATTCAACTTCTAACCTCTAATGATTCAGAACTTCCTTCATTGATTTGGGAGAGCACAAGTCCATGAAATGCCATCATGCTATCCTGGTTCTAGTTATGAGAAGCTCGAATGTTTGTTCAAGGTCTTAAATTCCAACTTTAATCTCAGTGTGAGACAGATAGGACACATGATATCTTTTCACCAGACCCTCAGTATTGTAACTTCTATGATGGTTCTTCCAAAGTGATTGCCAGACTATTTCTCATTCTTCTTAACCATTTATCTGCTACCTTCGAAGATGAAGGACAGCAGGTTACACGTTTGTAAATCTCTCTAGTAATCAATTTCCAACGACACTACTCACCCACTGTCAAGTTCATTACGACGCATAGTGACCCCTGTGAAACAAAGGAGTCATGACCAAGAACTTTAACATTTCAGAGTTAGAAAGAAATTTGACGCTACCACTTCTTCTGTGTGAATTTGCACAAGTTACATAATCTTTTTGACTTGTATTCCTTCAACTATAAAATAGACACAATAATGTCATTAGTTACTATGAGAGTTAAATGAAAATAAAGTAACATGAAATAGTATCAAAGCTAATTAATGATGATGTGGTACTGGTGGTGCCAACTTTGTAACTGCTGTTAAAATGGATGTGGGACTGTGGTCAGCTGCTTGGTGAAGATATAGAAGAAATCCTCATACTTTCATTGTGGCCCCTTTAGACCAGCGGTTCTCAACCTGTGGGTCGTGACCCCTCTTGGGGTCAAGCGACCCTTTCACAGGGGTCGCCCAATTCATAACAGTAGCAAAATTACAGTGATGAAGTAGCAATGAAAATAATGTTATGAACTGGAGAGCAATTGTTTTGAGAATGATGAGGGCAATGAATGTACAAATGTGCTTGACACAATGGATGTATGTATGGATTGTGATAAGAGTTGTGTGAGCCCCCAATAAAACGATTAAAGAAAAAGAAAATCATGTTATGGTTGGGGGTCACCACCACCTGAGGAACTGTATGAAAGCGCCACGGCCTGAGGAAGGGCGAGAACCGCCGCTCTAGACTCTTCAACAACTTCCACGTCATCTTTTCAAGGTTTGCTGCTAAAACTTCTGCTATGTATTGGGGCGTGCTTTAGGAATCTCCTGCTAACATACATACATTTATAATGTATAAGTTATTTTTATCCTTTTATATTTTAAACGGAGTCATCTACAATGTTCATAGTCATACTCTCAGCTCCTTATAACATATGCAAAGATTTCTCCACCAGCGTTTTGTTCTTACTAACATAGACAATTACTCTGGGTATGAACTTACCTTCCAGTGCTTCTGCCAAAACTACTATCCATGGACTTAACAAAATGCTTTGTCCACTGGCATGGTATCCTGTATAGCATCGCCTCAGATCAAGGAACTCACTTCACAGTAATGAAGTTCAGCAATGGGCCCATGCTCATGGAATCCACTGGTCTTACTATATTCCCTATAATCTGGAAGCAGCTGGCTAGATAGAATGAATGATGGGGTGGTCTTCTAAAGAAACAATTCCAGTACCAGCTAGGTGGTAATACCTTGCAGCTTTGTGACTTTGTTCTCTAGGAGGCTTTTTGAGGCTCTAAGTCAACATGCAATATATAGTGCTATTTCTCCAATACCCAAGATCCATGACTCCAGGAACCAAATGAGGTAAATTAAAGTGGGACAACTCACCTTTACTCCTAGTGACCCACTTGAAGCATTCGGGCTTCCTGTCCCCGTAACCCTATGTCCTTTGGATCTGGAAATCTTAGTTCTAAAGGGAGGAATGATCCAACTTGGAAATGCACTGCTGATTCCACTGAACTGAAAATTAAGAATACCTCCTGGCCCTATGGACTTTTCATGCCTTGAGATCAGCAGGCAAAGAAGGATGTTGCTGTATTGAGTGCTGCGATTGATCCTGATTACCAAGGGAAACGATGGATTCATTGTTTTTCCTTGAAGATTACAAGGGAGTATTCCCCCCAAACCGGAATTACACTGGGAGGAGTGGAGCTTTTCTAGCATACATTTTTCCTACTAGGGGAGCATCAAGCAACTTGATCTGAGTTAGTGAACACAGTGGTGTCACCTGGGAAGGTTCACTCTGGTCATAGTGATTTTTTTTTTTGTACAAGTAGTTTTGCTCAAACATTATTCTTTGTGATGGCCAATTTAAGAGAACAGAGTGCAGCTGTGAAATTTTGTTTCCTACTCAGGAAATATGCTGGAAAACTGTTGTGATGTTGAATACAGCTTACAATGACAGCGCTTTGGGAAAAATGCAAGTGGATGTGTGGCTTTCTTGTTTCAAAAAGAGGTGAAATGTTGATTGAGGACAAACCTTGTTCTCAACATCCATCAACTTTGGTCAAAAATATCGACTCGTAGTGGATTTGGAGTTTGTTCCACCAGATCAGACTGTTAATAAAGCTTTCTGTTTAGAGGTTCTGCAAAGATTGCATAACAGTGTGTTACCAAAAAAGGCCTGATTTGTTGCAGATGGGGGACAAGTTTTATCACCACGACAAGGCACCTGCTCATGCAGCAATCTCAGTGTGCCAGTTTTTGGCAAAAATAGCCCATGCACCTTAGTCATCTCACTTTGTTCTGAGTGACTTATTTTTGTTTCCTCAAATGGAGAAAGGACAGCGATTTGATGATGCAGAACAGATGAAAATAAATAAATAAAGGAGGGGCTATCAGCCAATCAAACAGATGTGTTTGAAAAACGTTTCCAAGAATGGCATCGCAGATTTGACAAATGTATTGCAGTGTAATGGGGAGTGCTTTGAAGGCGATTAAGGTTGTTTTGTAAAAAAAAATTAAATAGATAGCTTTGAAAAAAATCCTTTTTTGAGGGGGTGTACCCCGTTGTATGTCTGGTTTAAGGAGAAAACCAACCAAATGAACTATTGCATCCTCTCTTGACCTCTTCAACTGAACTATCGAATGACAAATCTGCACTTAGTGGGCCCATTGTGCACATCCTTAGTATCACACGTCCTTAGTATCATCCCCACACATATGGGTTGCGATGATAACACCCAACTACAATAACAGCCATCACCTGTCTGAAGTCTTTTTTTCATGGTACCAGTGGGTGAGTTCAGACCACCAAATTTTCTAGTTAGTAAACAAGGGAAAACCGTTTGTGCCCACTAAAAATTTATCACCTTTGTTCTATATATATTTATAATTTAATGTTTATTTCTTAAATATCAATTCAACAATAACTTAGAGAATATCTTCAGCATGGCCCAACTCGACTGCCTCCTGATCCTTTGCTTTGGTAACCATGTAATGTGGCATGATGTGATCTGAGAAGATTGCTCTGTCATTCACAAGACTCTACTTCCACAACGAAGTTAAATCCTTTGAGGACTAAGGTGCACCTGACCCAAGCCATGGTATTTCCAATTGTCTCATATGCATATGCAAGTTGAACACTGAATAAGGAAGACCTAGGAAGAATTGATACATTTGTATTGTGATGCTGCTGAAGAATATTGAAAGTATCATGGACTTCCAAAAGCACAAATCTGTGTTGGAAGGAGTATGGCCAGAGTGCTACCTAGAGGCCAGGATGGCGAAATTTCATCTTACATGCTTTGGACATGTCAGGAGAGACCAGTCCCTGGAGAAGGACATCATGTTTCGTAAAGTAAAGGGCCATTGAAGGGGAGGAAGACCCTCAAGGAGAGGGATTGACATAGTGGCTGCAGTAAGGGGCTAAAACGCAGAACAATTGTGAGGATGGTGACAAGACTGACCGGCATTTCGTTCTGCTGTGCGTAGGGTCACTATGGGTCAGAATCACCTTGATGGCACCTAACAACAACAAGAACAACAATAACAATTAACAACAACAGAGTTAAATAATTTACTGCCCTAGTAGTGATAAACCAATGAGTTGTAAAAGGATTAAGCATGGGGTGCAGCACATAGTCCTATCAGAACCTTGGTTGACTGCAATGGGAGTTTAGCTGCAACAGCTTTTATCTTACAAGAGATGAAAGGAGAGAGAAATGATGAGTCAGAAGGAAGGTATTGCTACTAACAAAGAAGAGTTGAGAGTGGAGTGCATCTTGGAGATCCAGGTTCAGGTGCCTGGAATTTCTTAGATCCAAGGGAAGACAGATGCCCAAACACATGTAGATCTCCACAGAACTCTAGCCCACAGTTTGAAAGGAGGCAAGATCTTTCTGGAGAGCTGACACAGAGAAAACCTTCCTCTGGAGCTGCCACCCTGAATTTGAACTTCTAACCTTGGAAGCCATGAGAGAATACATTTCTGTGGTTAAAGCCTTCCACTTGTGGTATTTCTGTTTTAGCAGAACTATGTAACTAAGGTGGTCTCCTAGGTGCATGCACCGGACAAGGTGCTTGGTGTACAATGGATAATTATATCTGTTCCCAAGTTGCTCCTCCATTCTTCAAACCAAACCTGTTGATGTCAAGTCAATTCTAGCTCATCGTGACCCAGAGGGAAGGATAGACCGCTCCATGGTGTTTCCAGGGCTGGAATCAGTTTTTGGAACATTTTATTGTGATTCAAGTGAAAGTCTACACAGCACATTTGTTTCCCATTGAACAATTTCTACGCATAAAGCAAAATTCATTTGTTGAAAGTTTACAGAGAAAATTTGTTTTCCATCCTACAATTCATACACATTGGATTAATAAGATTATTGACAATCTTTATCATGCAGTAATACACTTTCCACACCCTCCCTGTGTTTTCCATTTTGTCCATCTTTCTAAGCTTTATTCCTGTGAAAATTATGCCTTCTTGATATCGTACACTTGGTTGTTTTAATGAGCGTGCACTTCTCTGGCATTATCCTACAAGTCTGTCCATCATTGGGTTCAAAGTTGAGTCGTAGGGCTAGACCTGAAAGGTGCCTAAGGGTCATTGTCTCAAGGGCTCCACCATCTCTATCCAATCGTTACACCTGCACATTTCTCTCATTATATCCAGTACCTCCTGTTTAGAACCATTGTGAAGCAGTCAGCAGTGGTCACCATTTCGTTTTCCTGGTCTCAGAGGTATGGAGGCTGTGGTTCTTGTGGTCCATTACTCCTTGGAGCCTTTGTTTCCATTTGCCTTTGATTTTCTTCACTAGTGACCAGTTACAAGCTTTAAAGACCTTAGTTACCACTCACCAAAGAAGTGGTGCACATATTGTTGATGACCTCCTCTTTTTATTTGATCCTGTACGTTACCAAGCATTATGTCCTCTTCCGATGACTGGTCTCTCCTGATAAAATGTCTGAAGTATGTGAGACAAAATCTTGCCATCTTTGATTCTAAAAAGCATTTTGGCTGTAATTCTTCCAATACAGATTGGTTTGCTCTTTTGTAAATTCATAGTACATTTGATATTCTTTTCCAACACCATGCTTCAAATGCATCAATTGGTCTTGACTCTTCATTATTCGTTGACCAACTTTCACATGCATGTGAAGAAATCAAAAGTACCATGACTTGTATCAAGTGCACCTTAGGCTTCAAAGTGACATTTTTGCTCTTTAACACTTTCAACAGCTGTGATCTTCTGGAAGTAGATATTTGGCTTTTCGTTGAAGGCAGATCTGAGTGGATTTGAACCAGAAATGTTTGGTTAGCAGCCAAGTGCCTAATGGTTTGCACCACTCATGCAAGCTCATCACTGATCCCTGGGGAAATTGAGGGAAGAAGCCTGGCTTGCCAAAAAAGAGGAAGCAGGAGGTGGGTGGTGGGCAAACTGCACCCGCAGGCACATCAGAGGAGGAAGTACATGTGATAAGGGAGGAAAGTTTGCTCGATTATCTCTTCCTTTCAGGCAGTGGGACAGTTCGGTGCTGTCTTGATAATTTGTGGTAACACACCACAGAATCATTTCGTCATACGTTCAAATGTTCTTTGTTGTAAAAGATGGAAGAGGAAGGCGGTCAAAATGTGGAACTGGAATATGATCAACAACACAGAAGCGGGTAGAAAGAAAGTGCTAGTGAAAATGGGATATGAAACAATTTGGAGATCGGAAAGTCTGGAGTTATAAGTTTCTGTTGAATTTCTCCATAAAAATAGCATCTTGTTCAAACACTCCAGACCATACTCAATCTGTTTCCCATCTGAATCTCTCCTGATTCCCGCTTATTTGCTACACACATAATGAGCCATTATATATACTCCCAGGAAGCACCATAAGGGAGCCCTCATCACAACAGTTTAGCTGTGAGCTGTGTACGGAATGGTGGGCAGTTTAGTCCCACAGAGCCGCTCCATGAGAAAGACTTGGTTATGTGTTTGCACAAAACTAACCGCCTGGAAAACCCTATGGGGAAATAACTCTGTCACATGGGTTTCCTAGAGTCAAAATAGACTAGATGGCACTCAACCACAGGGAATTGAAACCCAAACCCACAATTTTTGAGTTGATTTTGTCTCATAGAGAGCCTAAAGAACAGAGCAAAACTGCTCCTGAGGCTATGTGTTACATTTCTGGGAGGAGACACTCATATCTTTCCCTTGTGGAGTGGCTGATGGGTTCAAAGCACTGACCTTTGTGTTAGCAGGCAAATGCTTTAACCACCGAGATAAAAGGGCCCCTTGAACAACAACAGGAAGCATCATAAACATTTCCTCCTTCAGAGATTTTCCTAGAGGATGCAGGATGTTTTATCTGAGCAAGAGGAAAGCCGGTCAAAACTCCTGAATCTGTTTTTTTAAGACCTGACTCAAATGGCAACATCTTTTAGAAATCCTTCCCTCAGTGGGTGAAGGGAGATGTCGGACAGTGTAAGATATGACAAAAATAGTAATTTATAAATTATCAAAGGCACATGGGGGAGGGAGGAGCAGGAAGGAGGGGGAAAATGAGGAGCTGATGCCAGGGGCTTAAGTGGAGAGGAAATGTTTTGAGAATGATGAGAGCAATGAATGTACAAATGTGCTTTACACAATTGATGTATGTATGGATCGTGATAACAGTTGTATGTGCTCCTAATAAAATGATTTAAAAAAACCCTTCCTTCATCTCCATCAAGTAGCACTGTTAGGACCTACACGTTCCAACAACTTTCTGCATAATGAGAAATGTGACATTGCTTCTCTTTGCTCTGCTCTCCTGGCCCAGGGCTGGGGCCATGGTGTTCCCCTCTGCATGCTCAGCAACAAGAGCAGAAATGTGACATGAAGCTTTAACTTTATTTGTTTATTCCAATAGCACATTGGTTGCTGCTATTTTTGTGATCCATCGAGTTGACTTCAACTCATAGCGCCCCCTGGGACAGAACAGACTGCCCCATAAGTTTTCCTAGGCTGTCACCTCTATGAGAACAGTTTGCCAAGTCTTGTCTCCTGTGGAGCCTCTGGTGGACATGAATCACCGACCTTCAGTTGCCAGCTGATTGCTTAACCATTGGGCCACCACGCCTCCTTATGCACTCAGGTTACGTTCATTAATTCCTCCTTCAGCTGCTCAAGCCCATATCTTTGTTTCCTATAGAAAAGGGAGAAATGTTATTTGATTCCAGAAAGGCAAGACAGGTAATTAGTGGTACGATTTTTAGCATCTATATGCTTATTAAAATTATTTAAGATGATTTTTATAATTATAATTTCTGATGATGAACCACACAATCTTTTTTATGAGAAAATGTGATCAAATTTTAGTCATTTTTTCTTAAAAACTTTTAGAATATGCTCCAAATATGATATATATATACATATATACACATATATAATTAGATTGAATGGAAAGAAGCTAATACCATCTGTGAATATCATGTGTGTTCAGTTTTGCTATGTTCGTGTTATTCGAAGAGAACATTGGTTTACTTCCAACTCTAATTTGTGTAATTATGCCATCCTAAAGCATTTAGATTTGCTGAGAGGACACTACTGAGTTCATGAGCCTTCATGCTTCCAGTGTCCCATCTTTGCCATTCCAAGAGGATTTAGACTCCTTCTCTCACCACTCAGAAGCAATGCATCGTCTAATGTGCTAGCAGACAATGGAGTCTTTAGTGTGAAAAATTTCACTTTCAATCTTGCTGTTAGACAGAGAGCATTGTAAAACTAATGAAGTTAGGTTAAAACATAACACCTTATCATTTGATCATACTTTTGACCCATTCTACATTTGATCCGATTTTTAATATTTTCTGCCTTCTCTTTAATTGAGGTTTTCTCCTGCTTTATTTTGTCATTGTCGGGTTCTTTTTCTTTGGGGAGGGGGGGTTGTTTGTTTCTCCATTTTGTTTTGTATGTGTATTCTGTATATAAAATCCAGGATAGGTAAATCTATAGAGACAGTAACTGGACAAATAATTATCTTGGGACACCACAGGGGAGGCTGGAGAGCAATGGGATACTAACATCAGTAAGCACAAGAAAGAAGAAAATATTCTAAAATTGACTGTGGTGATGATTGCTTAACTCTTCTCAATATGATAGAACTAATAGCTTGTATCAAATGTAAATGATATACCAATAAAAAAGAGATCAGAACCTTAAGAAAAGGTTAAATCAATTGACTTTGGAACCATGTCAACCACACTGTTTATCAACAGAACATGTAATCAAGTTTTAGTCATTTTTGCATAAATATGTTTAGAACTTGCTCCAAATATTGTATTTTCATGGATATCTACTTGAAAGGCAGCAGACGAAAGAGTTTGGGATCAGAAAAATCAAAAAGTGTTTCCACATGCTTATCAAGAGTGAGGCGTGGCAGTCAGAACGTATCTGATCCCGTTTTAGAGACCCTCCCATGGAGAGCCTCATACACAGTGACACACAAATAAGAGAGAGAAGAACAATAGGCATTGAAGTCAGAGATGGAGCCAGAGGATCAGAACATCATAGACACACTCACACAAGCCAACAGGGTTTCAGCCTTGGGTCTACCAGTGAAGGCATACATGCCTACAGCCGAGAAGACAGGCTTTCAGAGCAGCAGTTGGAGAACTTCTGGCCGAGAAGTGGCTGAACTGGAGCACAAGTAGAGAAGGTTCTAAAAGAGAGGTATATTTCTTTCCCATCTGTGTTCTCTCACTTTGCCAATTTCCATTAAACACCCCATTTTTTTGAGTTCTGCAAATTCCACCAGTTGCAGGCAGAAGGATCTTCCAGGAGTCTCAACATTTCTCATTTCATACTCCGCCTTTTTAGTAGCCTGCTCAATGTCGTTACACATGACAGTCAAAAGAACCTTCGTGATCTTAATCAGCTGGGGGAGCTTATCTGCCTGACAAGTGGCTGGGGCCTGAAGATAGCCATCAACACCATGAATCAACCTAGTTTCACTGTCCTTCTGGAGGACGCTGTGAAAAGAAGTCCACCGAGTCCTGTACAAGAGTAATGGTCATCGCTGGATAGCTCACTCAATGAGCGAAATGAACACGGGCAAAATGAGCAGAGCAGGCCTCGCCCTCCCAACCCCACAAGGGCAGTCCAGGTAGGTATGGGCCGTTCTTTGTTCAAGTCACACTGACTCAGGGGCTCAAGAGAGAGAGATCAATTAATGGCCATAGGCACAGGCACATCTGGTGCAATTCATATATTGAATATTAGGAAATCCTTTGCTTTATTTTTTTTGGCGTGGCAGTAGCTCTTTTTGGCTGATGAAATGGGAGGAGTTTTCAGCTTGTGAACTGGTAACAGCAGATTGTCTGACCATGGTTGTTGTTGGTAGTGTGTGTCATTGAATTGGTTCTAACTCACTGGGTTATGTTCGATGATGCTGGGCGGCTATGGGAGAAAGAGGAGGGTTTCTAGTCCCATACAAATTTACAGTCTCGGAAACCCACAAGGGCCAGTCTATACCGTCATTATAGGGTCACGATGAGTCGGAATGAACTCATAGTTAATTGGTCAGTGAGTTGGTTTCGGATTGGCTGGATCTGGACTCGATGCACCACAGGATGAAACACTGTCTGGTTCTGTCCCAGCCTCATAGTTGCTACGTTTCACCCCATCATTGCAGCCACTGTGCCAATCCATCGGGTTGAGGGTTTTTCTCTTTTTTGCTGACCTTCTACTTTACCAAGCATGATGTCCTTTTTCAGGGACTGGTCTTTCCTGATAACGTGTTTGAAGCACAGGAGATGGATTCTCTCCATCTTTGTTTCTCAGGAGCGTTCTGCCTGTTTGCTGTTCTGGCAGTCCGCGGTGCATGCGATATTCTTCACTGAAACCATCATTCAAATGCATCAATTCTTCTGCAGTCTTTCTTATTCATGATCCAGCTTTCACACTGACATGAGGTGAATGAAAATAGCATGGATTGAAGCCTCAAAGTGACAAGTGACCCTTCAAAGGGTTGAAGTAGAACTGTCAGTATGGTTTCCTAGGTTGCACATTTTTACCAGAGAGGATCACTAAGTCTTTTCTTTCATAGAGTAGGTCGTGGGTTCAAACTGCCAACCTGATGGTGAGAAAGCAGCAGGGTGCATGGCCATTGTGCCCTCAGTACTCTCCCTTTTAACAACGATTCCCAATTGTCACTCACTGCCATTGAGATGAGTATGACTTACAGAACAGGATAGAACTGCACCTGTGGGTTTGCAAGACTCTAACTGTGTACAGAAGAACCCTGGTGACATCGTGGTTATGTGTTGGGCTGTGGCCCCCAAGGACAGCATTTCAAACCCCCCAGCAGCTCTGTGAGAGAAAGACTGGGCCTTCTACTCCCATAAAAAGTTACAGTCTTGGAAACGCACAGGGACATTTCTACTCTGCCATACAGGGTCATGATGAATCCCTATCCATTTGAGGGCAGCCAATGCTTCTTTCTTTCCTTTTAACTGTTTACAAGTGTAGAAAGCCTGATCTTTCTCCCACCGAATGGCTGCTAATTTTGGACTGCTGACCTGGTGGTGAATAGCCCAACACATAACCCCCAATGCCACCAGGCCTTCTAATAGCAGAAGGTCCTATTTGGGGTATGAGGCACGGGACACGGTACTACAGTTCTTGTTTCTGGGTCCGAAGTGTCTTAAAAAACAGAAGCTTTACAAAGTGGCCTTTTGCTCCTAAAGGTGAGTTCATAGGTTAAAACTCCCCTTTTAAAAGCTTTGGAAGTTAGTTGAGTATTGCGAGTGGTTTGAGACTGGCTGCTCACCACAGGTTGATAGCTAGTACCCAATCGCCATGGAAGCAAAGCAGGCAGACTGCTCCCATACAGATTCAAGTCAAGAAAGCCCATATGGACTTAAAGTAAGTGCAAAAATTAAGTATATTCTAAAGCTTTCAATGGGACACTATTCTTCATTAACCTTGTCTGAGGATGGAAGCAGGGAGAGATGCCATTTAAACCCTTCCGAGTTATTCCTTTACTGCCCTTGGGATGAAATTGTGTATGCCTTTGGCAACCTATATTCAGAATAGTCAGAAACTTTTCTATGGTAAAAAGTCTGTGAGGTAAATAGATAAATGCATCTCTCTCTTTTTCTTTTCATTTTTATTCCCCAGCATAGATAACTGGAAAAGCTCCTGGTAAATACTGAATTGCGAGTCGGAAGACTTGCTGTGGTGTTTGCCTCATTTTAGTCACTGATAATGCAGTGATGTTGGCTGTGGGTGGCATGACAACTTTTCCCTTGCCTAACAACCAAAAGGTTCATGGTTCAAATCCACTTTTGACTGCCATCAAATCAATGCTCACTCGTGGTGACTCCCTGTGAGTTTCTGAGACTGTGACTGTATATGGGAGTAGAAAGCCCAGCCTTTCTCCCTCAGAGCTGTTGGTGGTTTCGAACTGCTGACTGTGAGGATGAAAGCCCAACATATAACCACTACACCACCAGAGCTCTTCAAATCCACCTACTGGCAAGAAAATCAAACAGAGCTCTGTTCTACTCTGTAACATACAGGGCCACTATGAGTTGGAATCAATTACAACAATGGATTATTTTGTATAAAGAGAAGATAATAATAAATCCAACTACACAAAACCCCCTCTTCTGTCAGTCTAGGGCTCTGCCTAGGGAGCTAGACTATTTTCTAATGGTTGCATTTCTGTTAAACTTCAAAGTGTGTCTGAAATCCCGCTCTCAGAAATCGCTCCCCAAGGAGAACAGCTACTGCGCAAGGGTGCCCCATCCTCACCACCACAAACATGGATGGCGTTTTTGAAGAAGGAACTGGAATTCCTGGGGGTGAGTGAGGCTCCTCCAACCTTGACTGGAATGATCTGGAAAGATTATGTGATTGTATAAGCCACGTACCCCTCTTGGGTTCATAAGGGAGTGAGACATTTTAGAGGTGGATAAAGAATTGGCACTAACTGGGCACTTTGGAGAGGAGAGAAGCATTTCTTCACGAAACCTTTAAGTTCCCAGATGATGAATGGCAAACAGGACTTGCCGACTCTGATCAGCTACTGGTCAGTTAATGGAATGTGCTAGTTCCAAGGATTCAGGAGCTCTAGCTTCCCTTAGACAAATAAAACAGGAGTGATGTCCATCATGTCGCTGTGAAGAAATGTCCTGATCATCCTAGGAAATGCCCCTATTGATTCTTTTACTGGCTAGGTGATACCACAAGGTCTCTCCTTTAGAACCCTAGTGCCTGAAGTGACATCTCATATTTGACCTCAAGTATAAGAAAAGTGATTCAATCGTGTGAAAATATTCCCATATTCCATAAAACCCAAGCTCTGTTGTTGTTGTTGTTTACAGGTAACACAAGTTCTGGTTGGTCTGTTATGCTTTTCCTTTGGAACAATTGCTTACTCTTTCATCAATATGTCAGAATTTGAAGGAAAGATTTTTTCATCATTCAGAGCAGGGTACCCATTCTGGGGAGCAATATTTGTAAGTATATTTCTTCTTTAAATTATTTGAAAAATATTATTTCACATAGATTTTATCTTACTCATATGTTATCAGAAGTATTGGGATCACATATAAAAACAATACACACACACAGAGGGGGGCTCACAAAGCCAAGGAAAATTGAATAAAAAGATAATAGAATTTTCGAAAACCCATCATATACATGTACACGGGGCACCCCCCCCAAAAAAAAAATGGAATTTTTTTCAAAGCTATGTATTTAAATTTTTTATAAAAACAACCCTGTCACTGTCAATGTACTCTCCATTACAGTGAATACATTTGTCAAATCTGCGAGTCCATTCTTGGAAACATTTTTCAAACTCATCTGTTTGGGTGGCTGACAGCACCTCCCTCGTTTTTCTTCATCGATTCTACATCATCATATCGCTGTCCTTTCATGTCCCTCCACATTCTCAGAACCAAAAATTAGTCGTATGGAGCGAGGTTAGGTGAGTAAGGTATGTGGGGAAGAGAGGCATGCTGCTTTTTTGCCAAAAACTGGTGCCCTGAGACAGCTGTGTGAGCAGGTGCATTGTCATGGGGACAAAACCAGTTCCCCATCCCACAAGTCAGGCCTTTTTGGTCGCATACTGTTGCACAATCTTTTCAGAACCTCTTAACAGAAAGCTCGATTAAGGGTCTGATCTGGTGGAAGGAACTCCAAATGCCCTATCCCCCCACATCAAGAAGAGCTTTTTCTTGTGTTGTTTTTTGTTGGGGGGGGAGTTCCCCCCTCATATTTCATATACAATATTCATATATACTTACAATTGTGAGAATGGCACAGGACCATGAAACCTTTCCCTTAGTTGTACATAGAGCCACTGAGTCAGAACCAACCTAACAGCACCTAAACATTACTTACCTAAAGAGAGATAGCAAGCTGCCTCAGGGCTCGGTGGTCAAATTGTCCGTTGCTAACCCAAAGCTTGGCGGTTTGAATCCAACAGTGACTTTGCTGAAGAGAAGCCTGGTGGCCTGTTGCTGCAGAAATTACAGCCCAGGAAACACCTTCTGAGATAGTTCTGCTCTGTTACAGAGTCACTATGAGTAAATAATGAAACACATGAGCATCCTCCTTACTGTAGTAGATTTCCTGCAGGTTACATACGCTAGCATGCTTTTATCAGAGGAGAAATCAATGCTAACAAAAGTTACATTGACCCAGGGACATATATAGCTCAATAGAAATTAAATTTAGGGTTCTTAGAATCCAATTCTCAGCAAATGTCCCTGGCACTAATCATCGATAAACGTATCACATTGAAGGAAGGGAAAGGAGCTTGGTGAGGTGAAAAGAGCAAGGTCAACAGGCATTCGGTAGACTTGAGTGTCATCCTATTGTTTCGGACCCATCGCAGCCTTATGCACAACCGAAGGAAACCCTGCCCGGTCCTGCACCATCTCACAATTGTCCTTCTGCTTTAGTCATTGTGGCAGCTGGTGCGCCCCAGCAACTCTTTTTCACGGTATCTCTCTATTATTTCATTGTCTGGAAAAGAGATGGCTTGAGGAGTTCACAAACATATATAGTTTCATTGAGGTATAATTGACATTAAATAATTTGTATATATTTAAAGTATATAGTTTGGCATATGCGCACATATGTGAAATTACCACCATAGTAATATTGTAGATAAACACATCCATCAGCTCTCAATTTTTTGTGTGCTACTTTTTAATTCCCTCCTCCTTCCACTCTCTATCTTTAGGTAACTTGGGATCTCCCTTCCGCCACCGTCGATTAGTTTACATTATCTAGAGCAGCAGTTCTTAACCGGTGGGTCATAACCCCATTGGAGGTCAAATGACCCATTCACAGGGGTCGCCCGATTCATAACAGTAGCAAAATTACCATTATGAAGTAGCAGCGAAAATAATTTTATGTTTGGGGGGGTCACCGCAACATGAGGATCTGTATTAAAGATTTGTGGCATTAGGAAGGTTGAGAACCACTGATCTAGAGTTTTATATCCATGAGGTTATACAAAACATTCCATTGAATGTTAATTATCTACATTCCACATAATCATTTTGCATTTATTCCACATGGTTTTGTCCCTCCACATTTCAGTCACCAGGATATGTTTTAATCTAAAATCAATACATTGGATGGATGTCCTGCTACATACTTAATACTCGCACCACTTGATGAACATTCTCTTTGATGAACTGTTGCGCCACATTTTACTTGAAACACTGCTCTTACTGGCCATCCATTTAACTCGTTAGGTGTCCATCAATCCATCTGAGTCTTTAAGAGATTATTTTGAATTTAGATTATTAATGTATCCTTCCACTAAATCTTCAATCATGTCAATTTTTATAATTAATATAAGGCTATGGAATTCTTAGGTGATAAGACAGTTGACATGCTTGGTTATTAATGCAAAGATCAGTAGTTCAATTCCACCCAGAGACACTGTAAGAAAGGCCTGGCTATCTACTTTCAAAGGATTACAGCCACTGAAAACTTATACGCATGCTCTATTCTGTCACTCACGATGTTGGTGTGAGTCAAAATCAACTCAATAGCAACTGGTTTGGTTTTTGTATATGATCAATGAAATGCTAAACACTGTATACATATACAAAATACACATGCTTCTTGGCCAAAGGAGCTGCTAGTGCAAAGCAGTGGGTGTACATATACATAAATAGTTGCAGTAAAGTGAGAGTCATGCCCTATCTCATGCAAGACTTTGCTAATCCTTTAGTGGTCCATAGATGGGCACTGTCGGTGGCACCTGGTAGCATAAGAGAGATACAATCACTGACCCAAAGAATATAATAAATGTCATTGAATTGGGCACGTGGAAACTGTTAAATTGATGTACGTTTTGCTATGTATATTATCAACAACAATAGCAAAAATATTTAGTAAAGCATAAGTATGTGATATATGTCTATGCATATAGCACACACATATATATGACCTGGTAGCTCTGTGGATTGAAAGTTGAGATGCTAACTACATGATGGTTCAAACCCACCAGTTGCTCCTTTGGAAAAAGATGAGGCTGCCTATTCCCATAAAGATCTGTGGTCTTAGAAACCCTGTGTAGGCTTGCTATGAGTCAGAATTAGATGATGACAGTGGACGTAGATATAAAGTGGAGGTCTGCATTTTAACCAGACCTCCAGGCAATTCATGTGAACATTTAATTTCGAGAACAGCTCTCTTGGAACTAAGCATAAGGGAGTACTAGGCTCCCTGGGAACCATCATGAATAGCTTTATAGAAGGCCCAATATTTTACCTAATGTTTGAAGAATAGAAGTGAATGGGGTTATAGAGAATTGTAGAGATTCACTGTGGTCTTTCCCTCTCCTGTTGGTACAGTTTGGCATTTCTGGAATTTTGTCAATTATATGCGAAAGGAAAACCACAGCATATCTGGTGAGTTTCAAGTCTTTGTCAATCATTGAGAAGGTAAGCAAAATGGAATGTGAGGCCTTTTGCTAGCAACACGCTCACATTTCTATATTGTTAATGACTGTGGGCATGTGAAGGAGCCCTGGTGACACAGTGGTTAAAGTGTCCAACTGCTAAACTAAGGACTGGCATTCTGAACCCACAAGTCTCTCTATGGGAGAAAGACGTGGCAGTCTGCTCCAGTACGGATTTACAGCAGTCGAAACCCCGAGAACAGTTGTAATCTGTCTTGCTGGGTACATATGAATTGGAATGGATTGCACAGCAGGGAGAAGGTAGGGTAGGTAGGCATGGACAAAATGGTTGTAACTAAGGGCTCAAACATAACAAAGATTTTTGAAGATAGTGCAGGACCAGACAATGGTTCATCCTGCTGTACTTGGGATCGCTCTGAGTCACAACAGACTCAATGCCCTCCAATAGCAACATTTGTGCAGAATGCTTTTTTGCTGCAGAAATGGAATGTAATCATGAAAACAGAAATGCAGTATAATCATCTAAGGAAGAGTAAAATATCACTCCCTTGATATCTAACCTGGTTATTATTATGGCTAATAAATGTCCCCACGCCCATCTTGGCCTTGTGTCACATATGATCCGATGAATAACTTATCTCCAATAAAGAAGATGATTTGAGAAGAGACTGTGAGTGTCCACGTGGTTCTTCTTGAATGCCGCCCAGTGTGACAAGCATTCCCTGGTTTTCTTAAGTGTGTCAGGTTATAGGGACCGATCCTACCGGAGGTGATGACAGGAGGAATTTTTGTCAAAGCAGAAAATGTCAACGTGCTCTTCAACCCGTGCAGGCTGGCACCTGTCCCTGAAATGTTGTTGTTATGTGTCATTGAGTCCGTTCCAACTCCCAGTGACCCTGTCTGTGTTCCTCAGAAGGAGTCACTGCTTGGTCCTACCCCATCCTCACAATTGTCCTCATGCTTGTGCCGATTATTTAGCCACTGTGTCAATCCTTCTTGTGGAGGGTCTTCCTCTTTCTCGTTATCCTCAACTTTATCACGCAGGATGTCCTTGAAATAGAAGGGGTTTCTTGAACACCCTGGCAAATGCAGGGCCAGGTAACAATATTTCTCTGTTCCATCAGGTACAAGGCAGACTGGGAACAAACATTGTCAGCACTGTAGCATCAGGGATAGGGATCTTCATCCTCCTCATCAACCTAGAGGCGAGTTGGTCTTATCTCTACGGCTGCCCAGAGGCTGATGAGAATGACACTTGTTTTGCGGCCTCTTTTTCCACGGTAAGAATTTCACGTATGATGACTGAGATACTGAATCTTAATCTAATTAAAAAAGCCCTCTTTTCCTCTTCCAATAGTTTCTCATAATCTCAATCATGCAGCATTATGTTTGGTAGGTCAATGCTGTTTGGAGAGATAGGGCAGGCTGGGAAAAATTGTGGTTCTCTGTTGTGAGTGCTGAACTATTTTAACTGCTAACCACATAACCATCTCCTAGTTCTCCCCACTGTGCTGAGTGTACGGTGGAGGATAATAGCTGTAGCTGTGGTAAGGTCCTACTTTGGGGGCATCTCCTCTGTGCCTCTAATTTCCTTTTGTCACTTTTAAAAAAATTGTGAAATCATTTCAGATGTACACATAGCTGTAAAAATAGTACACATGATTCCTATAGGCCCTACAACTAAATACCACAAACATTAATTTTTCACATTTCCATTACTATTTTCTAGGATCTCTAGAGACATAGTGGTTATGTTTGGGTTGTCAACCACAAGGTTGGCAGTTCTGAACCACCAGCTACTTCTCAGGAGAAATATGGGGCTTTCTACTCTGGTAAAGAGTTACAGTCTTGGAAACACAGAGGCAATATACCCTGTTATATAGTGTTGCTATGAATTAGCAGGGACTCAATAGCAGTGAATTACTATTCTCTGCCTCATTCCAACTTCACCCATTCTCCCAACAAAGTCCTTTTTGTTGCAAACTGACTCTTTCCTGGCCCAAGAACCCAGGTGGCTTTTATTTCTCATACACTTATTTAGCATTCGGTGTTGTAAAATAAATGATGGCTGTAGATATTTAGAGAGCACAGCCTTTTCTAACTGCTGTTTGTTGTTGTTGCTGGTGGACGGTCAATAGGAATTTGTGGCTATGCTCCTGTTCCTCACCATCCTGGAGCTTTGCTGTGCTGTGTCTACTATGATCTATGGCATTGGAGACTTATTCAAGCAAGATACGGTAAGTAGAAGATTGATACTAATTACAAGCTAAAGTAAATTACTTAACCTTAACCTTAAATTAGCTTTAGCTTTCATTTCTGGGCTGTTCTTCCAGAAAACGGTCTCTCAGTAATTCAGTTTCCAAGTCTCCTATTTTAAACCTCATATTACACTCACAAGTGGCATTAATTTCATGGTATATCCCCGACTGATATGGGGCTAGAATAGGATCTTTATAATTTTGGAAAATTCAGATGTCTCTCGCCATGTTCTGAGCATGAAAGATGAATATGCAGGTAATGTTGTGATGGAATTATTCAAGTATTTGGACTTAAATTTCTAAGGATAGCTCCTTTGAACTCATTCCTAGTCTCTTTTTACTCCCTATCCCTTGGTTTTTACCTTTCCACTTTCTCTTAAATCTCCCCTTTAACACATGACAGAACCAAAATCCCAAACCAAACCAGCTACCATTGAGTCAGTTTTAACCCACAGTGACCCCATGTGTGTTAGAGCAGAACTGTGCATCATTGTTGTTGTTTTTATCAGGTTTATTAGCACCTTATCCACATATCATATAATTCAATAATTCAATCATATAAAGAAGAGTTGTACAATTGTCATCATATTCAATTCTAGAACATTTTCTTCTTCCTTTCAGTCATTATTATTCATGTATTTATTTATTTTTCTAATTGTGGCAAAAATATACACAACAGAACATTCTCCAATTCCACAACGTTTGTTTGTATAATTCAGTGTCATCAATTACACTCTTCATTCTGGACAGCCATAATTGATATCTTTGTCCAAATTATTCTACCACCATCGACATAAACTCACTGTTGCCTGTGCAATAACTCTTACCCTTCGCCTCTGGTAACCATTGTCCAAGTCCTCCCCCCCCCACCCCCGTTGTTTTCTTGATATAGTAATCACATGTATACTTCCATTGTTAAATCACTTTTAAGATGATTTGTATAATCACAATCAGCCCTACTGTTTCCTCCCACATTCTCTCCCACATTCATTGTTTGTTCCTCAAATCCCCTCATCCTCCCTAGCTCCCCGCCCCCGCCCCCCCTCCGCACCTTTCTATCCGCTATAAACTCTTGCTTCAGTTATTATCTCTATGCATCTTATCTTTCTGTGTTTCACAATCTGGGAAACCCAACAGACACAAAAAAGTAAGACTGAAATAAAGTGGTAAGAATAAAATGATAATTATGTAAATTAAAAATACAAATGCTGAGTAAGAAAAAAAAAAAAAGACCACCATCAATTTTTAAAAAGCCAGGGGGAAATTTTTTGTCGTGAAACAAGCAAGAAATACTTGCACCTAGAACAAATTCAGGTTGGGCCAAGAGGGAGGTCAACTGACCAAATATCAAGTTTGATCCAGCATAATCAAGTTTACAATGATCTGATAGTAAAGCTGTTTGAGACCTTTGCCTGTGGCTAGAGGGGATCTGCCAGGAGCTTCATATGACTAGATACTTGGCAGATGGATTTAGGACTCCCAATGTCCTCCATAGGCTTCTACAAATTGGGTATTCACAATTTAAGCTCTGATACATTTCCCTTCATCATATTTGGATTTTATTATTGTCATTTTTGGATCACAAGTTGGTGTGCTTTTTCCATGTGGGCTTTGTTGACTCCTCACTTAGATGGTTGCTTGTTTAAATCCAAGTCTTAAAAACCCCAGACACTATCCCGATTGATAGACGGGCACCATCTGCTTTCTTCACCACACCTTGCTGTAGCAACCTTATCTTCAGTGATCATTTCATGAAGGTGAGTATTGAGCAGGACCATGTTATCAGAACTACTGTTCTTGGATTGGGGCTAGAGCTAAGTGAGAGCCCAGAATCCATCTGCTTGTCCCCGGGATATACACGACTCAGGTTTTCTCTTGCACTTGAATGATGTCAAAATCAACCCCTCATAAGACCAACTACAGCAACAAAAACAACAAACCAACCAGCAAACAACCAAACAAAGAAACAAAAACAAACAAAAGACAGGGCAACAAAATGCCATAGAAACAAAAAAGTCAAACAATGTCAATCATTCCATGGGGGTATAAGGCGGTTGACTAATAATATTGTCAATTTTCCTAAAGACACAGCCCTCTGGACACTGTTGGTATATGAAGTCTGTGGAAGTACAATTTCATCTTGGACTGCAACTCGTGTGTTGTTGCCCTGCACAGTTTGATCTTCCATTCAATTGAGCTCTGTTTATCCTAAGCATGGGGATTGGTGCCAAGGGGAAATTTCCTGGATCAATTCGTAGACGTGCAGATCCATGCCAACAGATCAAAACCTGCTGTATCACTGCAAGGGGGGGCATCAAGGTACTAAATATATGGTGATTCTGGGTCCCTTTCTACTGGTCACCCACCAAACCAGGGGTTCCTCCCAAGGTCCAATGACCACCATTTCCACAGACCCAGGGTTGCCTGTCTTGGCTTCCTCTCCTCTCTGGGTATCCCAGTGCTCAGTCACCATTGGTTTTTTAACTGATTTTCCAGAAACAGACCATTAGACTTTTATTCTAAAGCATTTCTTGGTGACCTTGAACCTAAAACCTTTTGGATAGCTATTGCACACTCACCACTTCACTGTCCAGGGACTCCTAACTTGTGATCCTTGTTGGGTGCTATGAAGTTGATTCTGACTTATAGGAATATGTGACAGAGTAGAACTGCCCAAGGCATTTCCTAGACTTTAATAATCATGGAAGCAGATCACCAGACCTTTCTCCCGCGGAGGTGCTGAGTAAGTTTGAATGGCCAACATGTCACCACCAGGGATCCTCTCATGCATGTCTACCATTGCCTTCCCTACCCATTCTATTTATTTATTATTATTATTTTTTTAATCAATTTATTGGGGCTCATACAATTCATCACAATACATAGATCAATTGTGTAAAGCATATCTATACATTTGTTGCCCTCATCATTCCCAAAATTCGCTTGCCTCTTGGGTTCCCGGAATTTGGGGGCTCTTACAGCTCTTATAACATTCTACTTTTTATATGTGAAAAAGAATCACTCTGTTTAGTCTTTTCCTTAAGCCTCACTTTCCTTCTAAGTCAAGTACACATATTTTTCAGACTTGTTATTGCAGACAAGAGCAGAGCCTTATTCACCATGCCATTCAGTGACTGCCAACTGCACCTCACCTGCTGCTCCAATACTGCTCATCAAGAGCTTCAAAGGGAATGTTTAGAGTTTTCAGAAGAGAGGGCAACCAGCCAACAGTGACAGCAATATAAACACAGGACAGGGGAAGTATAAGGAGGGGACTAGAGAAGACCTGAATGATACATTGAAGCCTGAAGCAGAAGTACAGCTTAGGGGGACACAGGGGGGCTACAAATAAGGTAGGAAGGTGTGTGAAGGAGTAAGAAATATAGAACATCAAAATGATGAGAGGAGGTTACCAAACATCATTGAGTGAAAATCTGAGAGAAATTTTACAACGTTTTATAGCAGGATTAACCTTCTTAGAACATTCTGCCTCACTCTCTACCTATTTGATATGACACCTTATTCCTAAAGGTGAGTTTATCATTTCATCTTTCTTCCAGGACCTCAAAGATGGATGGCTTTGTCAAGGACATTTCAAAAGCAATAAACATTTAAAAATTTTATTATTGAGCTAGAATTGATATATCACACTATTCCATAGTTCAGTGATATAAAGGAGAGCTGTGCAACCATCACTGAAATCCACATTGGGACCTTTTCCATCTTTTACACACTGATGTTGACTCCCAGGCCCCCCCCCCCACCCTCCCTTTCCATGGCTCCAAACAATCACCTATTCCATTACCATCTTCCTAATTCCACTCAGCCCAGTTTCCCCACAGAGTTAAATCTACAAGACAGACAACACACCACAAACTTGATCCATCCACAGTGACCGTCTGGGAACTATAAAGACCTCCACCTGAGATAAGGCAGAGACTATTAAACATTAGAATAATTTCACATTGTGACCATAAGGAAATCAAAGTACAAGTTGCTACATCTAGTCTAACGGCAGTTGCTAAAATCCCCTTTACAATGGTCTTTGTCTGATATTTATGCACAAAAGCCGATCAGATGGATTCCATAGAGAAAGCCTAAAGGGGGAAAATCACGAAGAGAGAACTAATTTTAGAATCAGTAATTTAGGGGCTTCAGGAGTTGCTCACTTCTATTGTGGAGTAAAACTAGTGCTTCCCCCTCTGGAATCATAGCAGCCAAAGGAAACTTCTGCCCTAAGACTAAAAGCATGATTTATTCCCTCAAGTTTTGTTATAGGTGTCGTTGTGTGTCCCGGAGTAGATTCTGACTCATAGAGACCCGATGGACACAATAGAATCAGTCGTGTCACTAAGGCTTGTGTGAGACAGTGAGAGAATGTATGGTATCATCTTTCCTCCCATAATAGTGTTACTCCTTAGTAATCACCAATTTTAATCATAGAAAAATACGTAACCAATACAGTTGTAAATTGCTTGAATGCAATATTTCTTAGATTGTACAAATATTAATAGCTGAAGTGATTTATAAAATATTTCTATTTTAAGTGATAACATTATTAGTTAAAATGAGCAGATTTTTCCTTTAATTATTATTTAATTCTCAAAAAGTTATTGAAATGGTTTCACAATACGAATTGCTCCGATAGTGTAGGTAAAACACTAGAAAATTTGACAAAATCCGTGACTGTAAGAAAACAGCAGCAAGGAAAACAACAGTGTATACCTGTGCGAGGGCAGATGAAGCCACGTGATTTGACGTGTCATTGTAATTGGGTAACACGGATAGCTCTGACAAGCTTGCATTAAGCCAAACTCATCGCTATCTGATAAATTCTGACTCTTGGTCATCCTGTAAGACATGGTAGATCTGCCTCTGTGAGTTTAGAGACTACCTCTTTGCAGGATGAGAAAGTCCTATCTTTCTCCCATGGCGTGGCTGGTAGTTTCAAATTGCCGAATTTCTGGTTAGCTGCTCAATGCATAACATGCCCTGGAGCCTTGATGGCTTAGTGGCTAACCTGTTGGGCTGACCGCAAAGTCAGTAGTTGGAAACCACCAGCTGTACCGTGGGAAAAAGACGAGGCTTTCTATTCTAAAGTCTCAGGAACCTTTAGGGACAGCTCTACCCTGTCCTATAGGGAATCCACTATGAATGGGAAGCCACTGAATGGCAGCGAGGATCTCATTAGAGGGGTAAAACATGAATTAGGATAGAGTCTTAAGTATATTGATACAAATAAATAGGACGGAGATGAGGTTTTCTACTTCCTTAAAGAGTTCGTTCCAGTCTTGGAAACTCACAAGGGTGGTTATACCCTATCGCGATGACTCAATGGGAGGGACATTTTTTGAAGCTGGGTTTAAGGGGGAAAAAAATCAAACTACAGAGATCTTTTTATAAGAAATAGTGCATATCTGCTAAAACATGGAACAGAAATTTTATTGACAGTCTGATAGTCTCACTTTGTGGGGTTTGCACCTTCCACATCCTCTAGTAACGCCGTTGAGTAGAACTGCCCCACGGGATGTCTAAGGCTATAATTTTTACAGAAATTAGTTGCCATATCTCTTTTCTGAAGAACAGCTGGTGGGTTCAAATTGCAGGCTATTTGCCTACTTGCTAAGTGCTTAACCACTGAAACACCAGGCCTCCTACTTTGTCATACAAAAAATAATAAAAATCACACTCACTGGCATCAATCAAGTCTGATTCATGGCAACTCTACAGGGAAATAAAAAGATTAGCCAATTATACTTGTACGGATCATCCATAGAGACTGTAAGTGTTGCAACAAGTGCAGTGATGCATGAACAAGCGAAGCGATAGAATCTGCAACCTCGCCATAGAAATTCTGATTTTATGATGTATCTATAAGATGGCAATTACAGCTCAAGCCCTGTTCACCAAATTCAAAAATGAGTGGGACAGATTTCGTGCCAGTTCTTACAGTGCTCAGGAGAGGAAACACATAACCAAATGAAAACAGCACAATATTCTATGTGTTACTATGGTAACATCGTTCTTTAATTTCACTATTTCTCATAATACCAGGTAGTCATGAAAAGAAAAGGACAAATTATAATATTGTCATTCCTCAAAGGTGTGTGAGTGTGTGTGTGTACTGAATTGTGATAGCATAATTGAAAACTCCTCCTCATATATATGAGTTGAATTTGAATTTTAAAAATTAATTCTGGAACACTCTATATCAGTTAGTATTTGCTGCATACTTATTTATCTATAAATCTGCCATATGGAATGTATTCGTTTCACCTGTCTGCCTTCCTGAAACATTCAATCTAATTGCCCTGGTGTGTTGCTCCTTTTCCCAAGATCAATAAGACAGAGGTCCTCTTCCAAAGATAAATAGGACAGCAGATACAAGTTGATTACTGTTGTCTTATCAAGCTGCTGTTGATTGATTTAAGTCCTTTTGGGTCCAGTTGGTCACTTGGGTCCACGTGGTCACCAATCTGGCTTGGTTTCCTGGAAACGAAGGCAATAATTAGTGTGTAATAAGGAAAACAAAACCAAAAAAAACAAAAAAAAGAAAAAACCGCTTTTGACGGGTCCTCTTGGGGAGAAAAACTTCTTTCCCTTGATGATATTCTTTTCCTTGTCAGGTTCCAGAAGATCGTGTTTATGAAGATTTAAACATATATTCTCCGATTTACAGTGAGTTGGAAGAAAGTGTGGAAACATCTCCTTCCTCTGCCTCATGAGAATTGGAACGTACTGATTCACAGTAGAGTCCATAAAGCTAAGGTCTTTGCTTAAGGGACCATCGGAAACATTTGTATTTTCTCCACAATTTGCCAGGTTTACATTATGACTTATTCCCCAGATGGTAATAAGTAAACTTTTATTTATCCAAGTATACATTCTCCCTTTTTGAGTGACCCCACCAGCTGTCATTGAGTCAATTCCAATCCACAGCCACTCCATATGTGTCAAAGTAGACCTGTGCTCCTTAGCATTTTCAATGTCTGATTTTCTGGAAGCAGCTTGCCAGACTGTTTGAGTTTGGCTGCTCTATACTCTTGCTTTCTATTGCTCTCTCTCACTCAGCCCTTCTGGGAAGTTAACTTTTTAAAACTTGCAACACATTGTATCTCTGTAGCTGTTCAAGAAGGAAAACAAGGAGATGGATGGGTAGAGAGTTGAGTTAAATATTGACATGTGGATAAGAAGTGGTCCTTAATTCTTTTTAGAGCTCACAGTAGTAACATATAGCCATGGTATAAGTCTTCTACTAGACTGTATGCTTCTTAAGAGTTAGATCCACTCAGCAAATATTTACTCAGAGCTGATGACGTGCTTGAAATCATCCACATTAATCTTCTTCACAGTGTGCATCCTGACGTTTCACACGTAGTGGGGCTCACGGATATAGGAGGATGAGTGAAAACAAAGTATTGCTACTAGGGCTTGAGTTCACAATACATGGGTTTATTCCAAACAAAACATTAAATAGGTGGGTGCTGGAAGACAAGTTCTATCGGTAACGTACTTGTCATAGTCTTGCTAGAATGCTTTTCAAATAAAGGTCCATATGTACAAATGTGCTTGATACAATTGCTGTGTGGATTGCTATAAGAGCCATAAGAGCCCCCAATTACATGATATATATATAAAATCAACATAATGACTTCCAAGGGGATCTGCTGGGCCAGTTCAAAGCGAGGTAGCTAGATCCGTTCAGCAGCTTATGGTGATTATTGCTTTTCCATTCCTAAGGGACAATATTGATAGATTTTATCCAAGGACATAGGACAATCATGGGGGCTTATGATGAAGAAGTTTTAAAAAAATTGAAAACGACATGAATGATTGAACAAAAACCCAGGAAAGTTGCAATGCGTTTCCCCCCACAGCCCCCACATAACAATGCACTTACTAATTAATTCGTTGAGGGTAACAAGGGCTTTCCTTTGAAACTTTATTGAGAAGCCTTACCCCATCTCCCCTACAGCCTGATCTTGCCCCTTCAAAGTTCTGTTTGTTATACCGACTCAGAGCATATTTAAAAATAACATGATTTGAATCCCTTGAGGATGCCCAACGTGCCATTTTGGCATGGTTTGAATTGAAGAGTGCAGAATTCTTTCGGGAAGGATAAGAGACTGGACACACCACCTTAAGAAGTGTATCGACTTGGAGGCTATTGAGACACAATAACTTCACATTTTGATATTTTTGTTTAATAAAGATTTCAACGATTTTATAGTAATACATTTTGACTTATCCTCCTCTTTGTGTGGTTGGATGAAGATTCAGGGAGATATACTACCAGGGCAGATTAGAGGTAGACTGAAAAAGGAGAAAGAGAAGATGGTGAAGGGAATTTGAAGGCAGTAATGAGGCACAATTAGAAGCGATTAGGATTAGAGGGAGTCAGATGGAAGCTTGAATAAAAGTTCTTCAAAAAGTTTCCGTTGTTGCTAAGTGCCATCAAGTCGGTTCCAAACCAGAGTGACCCTGTGCAAAACACCGCCTGGTCCTGCGCCATCCTCACAATTATTCCTATGCCGGAGCCCATGGCTGCAGCCATGGGGTTAATCCAGCTCCTTGAGAATCTTCCTCTCCTTCATTGCCCCTCTACGTTACCAAATATGATGTCCTTTCCAGGAAATTTGAATGAAAAGATAATGGCATTGTTCCATGGAATTTTTGAACCTTCCTTGTATTGAACGATTTGGGTAGGTCAATAGTGGGTTAGCAATGAATGCTTCCTGTATTGAATCTTATTATATAGAGAAAACCCAACGTGGTGTGTCAGAAATCTCACTGAATTTATGAAATAAGGATTTGAATCCACATCCCAGCACTGTTGTTTACTCGCTGAGTGAATTGTGGGAAACACACACACACACACACACACCACATGCTCATACAATGTAAATTGAAAGTACTATAGGAAAGGAAGGGATTATTGCATAAAATATATAATTTATGTGTACGCACAAGCAATCTTTAAACATACGTAATCCTTAATTGTATGTTTTTAAAATCCATTTTAGTCTAACGTTGAAGTTATCTACTCTTTAATCTTTCTTAAGTTTTTTCTTTAGTGTGTTTGGTGCTTAATCATCATACACCAGAAGCCTGGGTTGAAATGTTCTGTCTCCTTTCATGCTCACTTGTCTTTTCTCCTGTCATAAATCCACCTTGCTCTTTAAGCTTTCCAGTTCAGACCATTCCTCTCTAGATCGTGAGAATAAAATCATAATAATAATAGTAATTGTGTACATCCATGTATACACACAGATACATGTATTGCTTATAGTATATGTATTACTTATACTATATATAACTTTTTATATGCAAATATTTTACATACCAATGATAATACATTTTTTGGAGAGACAATAACAAAGTGTCTCAAGAGTCTGTGTATTGCCAGAGTCACCAACACATTCCCTGACACTGCAGTGTTCAACAATGTTTACAAATTGATTAGTAGATAATAGGGCAGTTTATTAAGCTGCTCAGAATTCAATGAGATAGACAGGTGAACATAAAGTGATCATAAATGGCAGGCTTCATTTACTGCCAACACTTGGATTAATTTATTTTCAGTTTTTGAAATACAAATTTTCATATCCAAAGTTGACTGCAGAACAAAAAATAAATCTTTTCAGCATGAAGCTATTAAGCCAAGCCTCTATTCTTGAGCAGGTGTTGATCACACCACTTTCACTAAAGATATTCTAGCTCAAACTCCTGAACCTGGTCTACTGGGAACTTTGGAAATAGAGCCAGTTAAGCTTTAAAATTATATAACAGATTGCTCTTTCTCAATGTACTCAATGTATGTAGTAATCACATAGATTGACTGAGTATGTTCAATACGTATCGCAAACATTTTTGTTTCAAGATAATACTGATAGCTGTTCCTCTCTGTCTGCCTGTTACCACTTGACCACCTCAGGTGTACTCAGAGTGTGCACCTGGAATGATTTTTCATGCTATCATTAGCTCCAATTTATCTTTTGAATTTCTAATTTTAGATCAAAATGTCCTTGAAATTCACCTATTACACACCTATTCATGCAGCCTTTATTTCTTGACCCATAATTACTTTACTCTCTCTGATGCAATGTATTATCATTTACTGTTAGTGTTGTTGTAAACCC